GATCTTACAAAGCTTCAAACGAAGCGTCGACTATTAAATTAGTCGTCGACGTAATCGTGACTAGTCGACTAATCGACTAATCGTGGCAGCCCTATTCTGCATGTTAGGTAAATGTGTTAACCACCATATTATGGAGTGTTCCCTGATTGTTACTGGTGGTTATTTGAATTCCTGTTGCAGCTCAAAGCAGTCTGGCCATTGTCCCCTGACCTCTGGCATCAACAAGGTATTTTCGCCCAGAGACCTTTTACTCAGTGGATAGTTTCGCTTTGTCAGACCATTCTGTATAAACTCCAGAGTTAGTTGGGAGGGAAAATCCCAGTAGTTTCTGAAATACTCAGAACAGCCCATCTGACACCAACAATCATTCCATGTTCACTTACATGACCTTTTTCCCCCATTCTAATGCTCAGTTTGAACTTCAGCAGGTTGTCTTCACAATGTTTACATGTAAAAGTGTAATGACCAACAAAAGAAAAGCAATTAGGAAATGTAAGCGCTTCATTTAACCTTGACAACCATTTATTTCTGTATTTATTGTTCGGTCACAGAGTCAGAACCTTCAGCAGTGATGCATATTGAGTGAGTTCACGTTTATCTGAACTTACCAGTACAGACAATTCCACAAAGTCAGGGACCTCCAGATACTCTGGGTCCACAGTCGGCCAGGACTGCTGCAGGACATCCCCTTCATGTTGGAGGATGGGGCTGAGAGGGTGTTTCACCTGGCAAAGACCTGGGAAAGACCCAACATGGACAATATTTGCCGACTCTCAGGAAACATATGAGGAGGTACAAAAGAGTCAGCCAGAAAAGTTTTGTTTTTAAAAGAAAGAAAAAAGCTATATATACATTGAATTTTTAGTTCTGCGGATGACTTTAATGTTGCTTGTATTTGTTAATCTTTATGCTGAGACAACATCTTGGTAATGGGTCATACAACAACGACGCAGCTATTCTTACAGCGAGCTCCTGTCCTCTGGAGGCCCAAGGGAAGGATGTGAACTTCCTCTATCCTGCACTGTGTGTGTAAAATTACGAAGAAGGGCTCAGAGAGTAAAGTACAGTGCGACAGAGGTCACACATCTTGTATGTCCTGTTTATAACGCTCTGCATCGGTGATTCTCAGACTGTGGGGGCAAAACATGACAAACACGTACCGGGGAAACTATGCAGTGAAACTCGAGTAAGCTGAATAACTGAGGAATTTTTTTAAATGGGGTGGGGAGAGGACAATAAACAAAAAGAGGTTTGCTGATGCTATCGTGCTGAACTTCGTTTCACTAAAAAACAACGTAAGCTTCTATAGCTTCTTCTGCTATACGTACATGATGTACATGACCACACACACAAACACAAAACATGCTCATTGTCACTCATTAAAACCAGCACACACACTATACGCTTTCCTTTCAGCTGGACTCTGTTTTCTGGTTCTCTCCTCTCTCAGCTGTGTGCAGAAAGCTCGCGTCCGTGCATCCATGAAAAGAAAAGGATGTCCTCCAGTGCAGCGCAAGGGCACACTTCCACACGAGACACAGAAAGTGACGCTAGAGCTTCCTTTCTGTTGTTTAGCTGCTACAAAAGGATTTCAGCACTGTTTATTTCAGGCGGAGTGTCCTGATCATCACCACTCATCAATGGGTGTTCACTAGTGTAAATTAAATGTTTAGCAGAGGCCGCTTCCTCTTTTACACACCAAAATTATCCTCATTTACAACTATTTAAATATCAGCTGACAAGCGGTTAAGTGTAAGAAGCTGTGTGTTCAATCTCTGTTTCTCATCATGTGACATTTCTTCTTTACATTAAATATGCGCATGAACTTCACCAACCTGCCCAAAGCTCAGAAGCTAAGTGAGGGGCCATGGGTGCTGTCATCATAACCAGGGCAGCCAGAGCTTCCTCAAACTCCACGCTGTGTTGCAACAGCCTGACTGTTGCACTCTAGACACACAGAAGCAGTGGAGAAAATGTGATTTCCAGTGTGTTCAGCTCTTAAACAATACTTGTACCATATTTGCAGTTAGTTCGCCTCAGTTGAGTCACGCCTCATTTATTCATATTTTGCAAGGAAAATGGGAAATAGGTGCAATGATTTACTGAAACGTGAGAAGATTGACGAAAGTACAGTATAGAAGGCAAAAACAGAGTTTGTACAATGAGCTTAAAAGTCAATATTTGGTGTGATCACTTTTTCTCTTCAACAGCATGAACTCTCTTAGGCAGCTTTCTTGTCATTTCTTTAAGTAGTTTTAGGAACAGTTTTCCAGGCATCTCGAAGGACAAACATTAATGCTGTTTGGATGTTCGCTGCCTTTTGTTCTATTCAGTGTCAGGATGATCCCACACTGCTTCAACAATGTTGAGGTCCAGGCTTTGAGGAGGCCAATCTACAACTGATTGATGTTTTTCTATGCAGGTATGTGTTTACTGCACTGGCAGTGTGTTTGAGATCATTGTCATGCTGGAAAAAGAAGCTGCTGCCAATCAAACACTTTCTTGATAGTGGATCAAAATCTGATTCTACTTTGTTTGGACAAGATCTCCATGACCACTGGCTCTCAAACCACGACAGAGCTTCAACTGTGTTAAAGATGACTGTACACACTCGCTGTTGTATCTCTCTCCTGGCTCCTCTGTACATATTAACAACAAAGATTTCACAGTTGGATTCATCACTCCATTAAACATGCTACACTGATTCTGATGTCACACCTCAGCTATCTGTCCCTGCCTTAACAATAACCTCTCAGGTCCTTTGTCAGGTCTTTTCTGGATTCCTTTTCCTATTTCTTAACGACATGACTTTAGATGTTGCTCATCTGATGTATTTATGTATTTATTTATTTATTTTTAGCCAAGTTTTAGGCTAATAGCACTTTAGCACTTGGTGCAAAAATACAATTTTATGCCTGTCAAACTATGTTATCTTAGGCATTTATCATAGATTCAACATAAGAACTTGAGACTGGACTGAAAATGAGTGAAAAAACAGCCAATGTCCAAAGAAAAACCTTGAAAGACCTTCAAAAACCCTGGAGAACCATCGCCTGTGACCACATTAAAAAATTACAAGAGGAAGTCTGGCTCCTTGGAAGTAAAATATAATGAAATAGCTGGTGGCTGAAGACTTTTTGCACATTACTGTCCTTCAAGATATAAGAAAGTGCACTCACGCTCAGTGTGTTAGTGAGTCCCATTAGGCGAGATATGGCTGCGTTGAACAGGAAGTCCTCTGTGAAGTGCGTCGTCACCTGAAAACACCAACAGAGAAACACGGCACAGTCGGTGAGTAAAAACGACAGTCTGAGGCTTTATGATGCGTTTCTGGATCCTAGACATATGGCTGCTTCCAGATGGGTTGGTGTTGTCACTTATTATTACAGAGTGTGCCTCTGATGAATCACTGGAAAACAATGACAGGTTCAGAAGACGGGCCTCCAGTCTGTTATCGTCATGTGGACCAGCTGAAGCCACAAAGCGAGTCAACATTCCCCTGCTCAGCTTTCATGGAAAAGGGAGCCATTTGGGAGGGTCCACAGGGAGCAGGTTTATCAACGAGGCTTTTCAGGGACAGATCAAAGGACAGCCTCGGCTTTGAGGGCTTAGGGCAAACAGCCTGAGGTCCTTTGAAAGCAATGGCCTTGAGGTGGGAGGCGGGGGGGTAGAGAGCGACTATCAAACCTGGCAGCCAGAGAAGGCTATTTATAAAGTGTGAAAGGAGACACAGTTTAAAATCAATTTCCAGCGCCTTCTGCTGCTACCCTTTATTCCAGGGGTTTCAGGTTGCGACGGATGTTTAGCACTGAAATGCCACAACTCAGGACTTTGTACTGCGAGACTGTGTAACGAGTGATATATTACTTGCTGTCATTTGGTGCCTTATAAATGAGAAAAGACTTCTTAACATGCCTTCCAACTGTAACTTTTAACAAAGTGGCAAAAGGCTGAAGAATATTAATTAATATCAGGCATCAACAACTTTAGCACAGATAAGAGGAACAAGCTGAGAGCTAAATTCAAAACAGAGCAAAATGACAGATGCAATATGTTGCCGAAGGACAGTGAATGTTAAATCTCACTGACAACCCGAGATTTGACAACGGGCACATATCTGACCCCTGCTGGTGAGAAGTGCTGCAATATGTCACAGTTTAATGTCACAATGAGACGCTTAAGCCAGGGGTGTCCAACTCCAGGCCTCAAGGGCCGGTGTCCTGCAGGTTATAGACATCACTCTGGGTCAACACATCTGAATCAAATGAATAGTGAATTCCCAGGCCTCTGCAGAACTTCAAGACACGTTGAGGAGGTTATTTAAACATTTAAATCAGCTGTGTTGGATCAAGCACACATCTAAAACCTTCAGGACACCGGCCCTCGAGGCCTGGAGTTGGATTCACTCGTTCTCACTGGAGCTGCTCACACAGACAAATTTGCAGCACTGACTTTTTTCGAAACAAGCTCAATTTTTCGGATCCGAATAAACACATTTGATATATTAGACTGCATTTGGGAATAAATGTGCTCGTAGCGCAAAATGATGATACGGAAATAGTAAAAGAATACTGTTTTACTTCAGACACACAGCTAACCACACAGATGTGATCCTAGCTCTGTCAAAAAGAGTTTAAACTGTCCCACTGACATCATGAAATATGGACAAAAGCAGCCATTATACAGCTTCAACTCCTGGATCAAACCATTAAAATTCTGCCTTCTGCTGCCTTCTAGTGAGAATCGGATGAACCCAGAATCTCCGTTTCTTCCCTTTCTTGTTTAGAAACATCAGGACCAACTCATCATCACAACGCTCGGTGTGTAAAGGCCTTTAGGCTGCAGAGCAGTTACCTCTTGAATTGCGTAGTTCTTGTTCTCCCAGATCTTTTTGGCCTCTGCGAGCTCTTTCTTTTTCAGCAGTCTGGGGTTGGGGACATCTCCGAGCTGCCGTGCTGCTCTCAGCTTGGTCACCAGCTGCCACAGTCGAGACTGCCATCGCAGAACGCCAGCAAGAGCATCGGCTGGAGTGGGTCAACACACACAGGACACACAGGAAAGAGCATGTCTTTACAAGATTTATAAGTTCAAACTTCACACATCATGAGTAACTTAAGGTGTCTGTGTAATTTTGCAGACTCTTCTCACTCTTAGCATTCCACAGGATGTCCTGTTCAGGCGGTGCCGCATAGAGGATGTATAGTCGTACTGTGTCCACGCCGTACTGCTGGACCACGTCTTGGGGGTCCAGCCCGTTGTGTTTGGACTTGCTCATCTTCTCCCACGTCACCTCAACGCGACCGCCACTCAGAGCCACTGGCTCCTTATCTGGAAGAAACAGGATGGGGTCAGAGATAGCTGGGATCAATAGACGTCCTACTTTGATAACTAGCAGTATCTCTTGTTTATCTTGTTACCAATCGATAAATCCTTAAATGCTAAGTATAAGAGAGTGTTTTGGTATCTTTGAAGGACTTCATGTGATTTGGCTTTTCCTGAGAGTGTCTGATTAACCCGTCATTCAACTGGAAAAGTGCGATCTGAAGCGCTTAAATGAAGAAGGCTTCTCGCTAACAACGCTAGAAGGAGGCGGGGAGGCAGTGTTACCACACATTACAGAGAAAAAAGATCAGTCATTTCTCCAAGCCCCCCTCCTTTCTACTTGTTACAAATGTGTCACATTAACAAACACCCTCCAGCTGCACGCAGCATGTACCTGTGAAGTTTATTTCTTCTCTCTTTAGGTACTGGCCACTGCCTGCAAGCTTAAACGTCTGGCCCTTGATCAGACCCTGGACCAGGAGCTTCCGAAAAGGTTCCCTGTAACACATAAAGAGAGTGTTTCACTTACAAACACTCTCAAAATTCAAATGCACACTAAATTAAAAAAAAAAACCAAACATACACATAAACCACAGTGTACCCCACCTGTGAGCCACAAGACCCTGATCCTTGCAGAAATGACAGAGGAAGCGAGCATAGTACAAGTGCATAACAGCGTGTTCCTTCCCTCCGATGTACACGTCCACAGGAAGCCAGTGGTCTGCCAAGTGGCGCTCAAAAGGCCTGAAGACGGAGAGGACATTTAAAGAGGTGCTCACTTCATTTATTAGCCTAAAGCACTATCAAGAGCCATGCCAAACTGAAAAGGAACAATAAGAAGTGTCAGTGAGGAAGGGGACAGGATTTCTGAAGACCTTTAATGATCTCTTCCTTCCTAAAACGAGGTCTGTTGAGTTTCATATAGGAGCTTTTTTGGGCTCTCACAGAAGCTATAAATGATTGTGCAAACATCATCATCTGTCCACACAAACCAATGTTGTGGAAGAAGTCTTTTCAGTAAACACAGAGGCTGCTGGTTTGCTCTATCACGATGGAACTTTTATCTTTTGCTCACTTAACGCCATAATACTACACAGTAATCATTTATTTTACTTTTTTTTATTTTAATTGATTCATTTTATGTTTTCTCGTCCATGTCTTTGTCATTTCGTTATCTGCACTTGAAGCACTTTGATGTTTTAAATCAATGCCAGAAATGAATGAATTAGCAACTCAAAGCTGCAAAATGCCCAATTATAATCCCAGTAAGCATTTTTTTCAGATGAGACTAGTTTGTAGTTACGTGCTTTGGTAGACATGCACGCCGTCGTCCTCCAGGGGGCAGGCTTTATCTGACACACGAGAATCCAGAGAGGAAAAGAAGCATCGTGAAGCCTCTTCAGCTTCTTCAGACTCAGAAAAAAGTACCAAAGTAATGCCTGCTTACATTTTGGCTGCCATCACAAGTTAATAGTGAAACTATGACTATTGCTTTCAGATCTTGGCAGGACAGCCGCGCGTAGTCAGCCTGGCTGTCATGATGGAGCATCGGTAATGACGCTTTTTAGGGAAGACTTACATCATTACTCTCCTTCACACGTCTCTGCCTCCAACCCTCCCTCTGTGCCTGATAACACCTCCAGATAATTGAACCGGGGCGGAGGGGAGTTATGAACTCACAAAGCTGAAAATAATTCGGACTCACTTCTGGCAAGAGGCCAAGGAAGTCTAATACATAACACCCTGTTCCCATTTCCTTCATCGCACTTGCTACTTTAAAACATCACTTGCTTCCCATTTTCGCTCCCGACCCCCCACCCCGCGTGTATACGGCTCAGCAATCCAACTGAAATGCACAAATGGTGTAATTGCTTTTTCTGTTGTGCCGTAATCTGTCCGGCAAAGAAAAGTGATGGAGAGAGCAGTCCCCCCTCCCTTTTTAAAGCAGCTTTACGGCTGGGTCAGGGCACTGGGAAATTAATCTCTTTTGTTAAGCTCAGGGTATCACCGCCACCCCAGCAGGTGACAGCCATTGCTCCATAATCTCTATCGGCAAAGAGTGCAACTTTCAGGGAAGCGCGTATGCATATCTGCGTGTACACAACCCAATACAAGTGTTTCAAGCAGGCAAGTGGGAGAGAGAGTGGGTGATCTAACAATGAGCATAATCACAGTTTGAGTATAACTTTCACCAATAACCAATAGCACTTATAGAGGTTGTATTTACACAGAGATTACACAGCGACCTTTCTTCATATCTAAATAGACAGACATGCTTCTTCTCCTACTGCTGGAGAACCTTTTGCAACTTCCTCTTTTCTCGTTTTCTTTTAAACAAATACGATGGTAATAAAAGGTGAGAAAGAAGGTGAGAAAAAAAGATGCAAGAAAGAAAAGTAAATAAGTCTACATTTGTTGGCCTCGTTGAGCCACAGATGGATGAACAGGAACATATTAAAGCTTCAGGAGGAGGCTGTTTATACCTGTATGCATTGTGAGGGTCTGTGTATCTAAAATAATACCAGGCCGAGTCCACAAATGTGTCCATGGTGTCAGTTTCCCTCCTCGCTGGGCCCTTGCATCTGACAGGAGAGACAAAGAGAGAGTTGGCAGAGGAAGGACTGGAAAAACAACAACAACAAAAAAAAAAAAACAGGCTGATAAATTAGAAAGTGAACAAATGAATGATGTCTGTTTGTATGCTCAGAGAAAATGGCTCATTATGTGATTAACGTGGGTGTGCGCGCGCATGTGTGTGTGTGTAACGCTGCCTGCATCTGGCTGTGGGGGTCATGTCCCCGTGGAGAAGCACAGCTGAAGCCAGCCTGGCACCAGAGCTCTGTTCTTGTGCCCTGACTAACAGGCTGTGCTAACAGGAAAAGAACTGGCAGGACGCACACACGATCATGTGTTTGTGTTGGAAATGCCACCTTGTGCCCCTCTCTATCCAAGCCAAACAGCACTTGGGTATGTGATGCGAATCTGCCAGCAACACTTTCACAGTGCAGGAGAGGACATCGGCAAAGAGGGGGGAGGAGGCGGGGCTTTCGGAGAGTACTTCTGCTTCAGTTTAAAAGCATTTAATGGAACGGTGAAAGCATCTGCCTTTTACTTATAATGAGTCTCAAAAGATTTAAAATCAGTGTCCCAGAAAGACAAACAGAGAAACAGCTCTGAGCTTTGCTGCAGTGTGTGCAGCGGAGCTGGTGTCGTCTCCTGGACCTCGTGGGATGTCCCCGTTTCATCTTAAACTCCGTCTACTGCTCGACGCTTTCTGATTCATCTCACGGTCACATTTCTTTAGTCAGACACGCACACGTAAAGAGGCGAAAACTCCTCGACCACCTACCATACCAGTCTATAATAAGGCTGTGATGATGAGGTAAGAGCTGGAGGTTGCCTAGCAACAAGGCTAAGGTGTAGCACAGTTAATATTTGGAAGTCAGGTGTTATTTCATATGATGAAAACCCAGCAGTATAACAAAACCCAGTCTATCACAAAAGCGTTCAAATGGAAAGAGAAAATTAGTGTGCACAAAGAAAGAAAGAAAGAAAAAGGATGCTCCTCTCCGTCCTCAGACAGGCCAGTATGGACCAATCAGGAGTCAGATTGTGGATATTTGACAGACAGCTGGTCCCAGACTACTGAGGATGAGATTTGATGACACAAAGGTGCTCTGTCCAGAGATGGGCCTTCTCTATGCCATGAAAGGAGCCCAGCAACAAAAGTTGGTAGCTAAAACAAACCTGTGCAGGAGAGAGTGTGTAAAATGTGCGTGTGTGTTTGGAGGGTGAGCCAGAAAAAGCCAAAAGGCTCTCAAACAGATGCAGCTAAAGGAGGCAGCTGTCCACTCGAAAGCTCTCCACTACAGCAACGTGGCCCCAATCTGCTGTGTGTCCACCTGCTTATATGTTGGTGTTGTGCTAACTAAGCAGTCTCGCCTTTTACCTGCAAACACACACCTGCACGCACACCTTCTTAAACCAGACTAAATCAAAGCTCAGGGTTCAGGTGGCAGACCAATTTACAGAACTGCAGAGGTTATGAGACAAAGATCAGCACGCAGGAAATGACTTCGTCAAGGACAGACAAAACTGCATTCCTGCCACCCATCTCTCATCGCCCTGCCCGTCTGTGTTCCTCGCAAACTTTAATTGGACATGGTCGACGAGTGACGAGAACAAATTTCAACAGACACTTAACAACGGAGGGGAGATGGGAAGAGAGGAGATAACGGCGTCTTTGTGATTATAGCCATCAATCACTGCTGATGGGGGGGAATTATAGTAGCTTTGTGGAAGTGAGTGAACACAATCTGATGACTTGTGCCATCTGCGACTGAGTGGGCCTTGGTTTTAATCAACATGGTGCCACGGCGGTGATTAGTCTTATTCAGAGAGGAATTCCCATGTCAGCAAGGCGCTCTGGAGACGCCAGTTGAGCAGTCATTCTGCATTCAGCACATTCACTGATGAGCTGCTGAGATGTGTGTGTGTGTGTCCGTGTGTGTGAGTGATTAGGCACTGTGCATAAAAGGTAAATGCATGTATGTCCGTGCTTGTAGGGCATTCGCGTGCATCTCTCGAGACACAGCTGGCTTATATAACACCCATCATCATCATCATCATCATCATCATCTCATGCTGCTCGTGTCAGAGATGCCACTGATTACATAACCCCAAATGAACAAAAGTATTAATCATGCAATTTACAGGCTTGCACTCAATGCAAAGTGTTCCTGTAAAGCTGTCAGGCCTCTCAGGCCCGATTGACAGCGATCTCATTTTGTCAGTGATGTTCTCCTGAGGAAACACAGGAAAGAAAGGCGGCCAAAAACGCTATAACAGGCATGATCATTTCCCCAAAACGCTCATGCTGTGCTAGAAAAGGAATAACACCGTGTATCTCATATACAGTATGACATAGACGGATGGAACTGTGGCTGTGCTGATGCTAATACTAACAGTGCTTCAGGAGATGGTGTTGATCCAGTGATACTTGTGCAAATGGGGTCTATGAGATACAAAACAAAAGGCTTGATTGGAGTGAACATATTCAGGAGTTCCCACACTAATCGGACCGGATTTTTCAAATTGTAGAAAAGAACCAAAGCAGTGACCTCCGAGGCAGTTCCTCGAACGGTCACCAGAGACTTCTATCTTAAATTATTCAACGTTATAGCAGATGTAAACATGTTTAATCCTGATGCAAGAATACGATTTTGCTCTATTGCTATTTTTCGTGTTTGTGGGGCCTTGTTCCAGTAAATCTAATACAAAAAAGACCTCTCAGCCATTCTTTGTGGAGTTTGCGCCTTTTGAAGAATTTTATTTGCAGCTATGCAATAAATAATATGGCTCACTCAATGGTTGCCAACAAACTCTTTGGACTCTTGTAAGCAAATGTTAAGGTGCATAAATGACAAAAGCTGCTATAAACAGCTTCCCAAGCTGCATTTTCTGGCTGCAGTGACACTGACACTTTATGCATTATATGTTTGTTCTTAGACAATAAACTGCAGCAGACCAGTATAACAACTACAGGCTATAGTAGTAATTATATGCGCTCATTAAAACTGTTATTGTGTGGGCTATAAAAGCATAACAGAGGGTTCAGCACCTCCTAGCTGCTACTCTGCATTTTCTACATTAATTTGAATATTAGGAAGGAACGTAAGGCCCTGTGAGCATCACTGCGTGTTATAGACAATTTACAAATACTAATTCTCCATTAGCAGAAGTGACATGACACAAATTAATGTGCCCTTATTTTAAGGATTTAAGAATGATGTCACATCCTGTACTTTCTCCTTCCCTCCTTCTTATACACTGCTTATCTATTTGTTTGTAATGGCACGAAAGGTTAACGAGACACATGAAGTGGGATAAATGAAGTCTACAGTCCTGCTGTGCGTTATACAGGGCTGATAATACTCAGCGTTCTCACCTGGGACATTTGCAGTTGACCCAGTCATGTGCCGCTTCTAGAGGCGACGCCCCCTTTCCTGTAATCGACGGCAGCTTTGGCAGAGTAACTGGTAACTCCTCCTCAGGGACTGCGACCGGACCGCATGACCCACAGTGCACCACAGGGATGGGTGTGCCCCAGTATCGCTGTCTGGATATCAACCAATCTCTGAGCTTGGAGCTGGTTAGGTAGCCTCCAACCTTCTGTTCTTTGGCCTTCTGGGTAATAGAGTTAAAGGCTTGCTCTCTGGTAAGGCCTGAGAACTATGCAACAGATAAAAGAAGAGGGACAAAAGAATGAAAATAGTGTTGTTTGCTTTTTATTAAAGAATGATTAGTATTAGTGCTGACCTCCTCAGAGTTGATGAGGGTTTGTGTCCCATCTTCATGAGTTTTCAGCACTGATGTCCAACTCAGATTCAGAGCTCTAGCTACAGACAGATCCTCTTCATTACAGTCTGGGACACCTGTAACATACATGTGCAGCATGAACATGTCAAGAAGGTAAAAACCACTCAACAGACATAAGATGACAGATCCCTGCTTATTTCAATCCTTTTTACTTGTTCATAACGCACCAACCACCGTATCCAGATAGTCATCAAAAGTCTCCTTGTGTGAGATGACCAGGGGAACCTCACGGCCGGTGAACAGGTTGTGAGCTGTGACGTCTGTCAGGGAGTCTGAAGAGCAAAGGGCAGGAGGGGAATGAGAGGCAGCGCCGCTTCCCCTGGCAGCTCATTATCAACAACTGTTCACCACTGAGACTAGTTCAAGGGGAACCCAATTAACAAACAGTCCACTGCAGCTCCTACAACCAAACCTCGACTGTGTTCGAAATTAAATATTTACATTAGCGCAAGGTATCCAACATGCACCCACTCCAGGATATGGAACACATAAAGACAAGTACAATACAAAACTTTAATGATGTGTATAAAAAATATAGTTCTCACTTCTTCAAAGAAAAACTAGTAATCATACAAGAACATATTAAAGTGTGTAAACTCCAGTTTGAAAACAGCCTGAGCACAAGCTGGTTGCGAGTGTGCAGAGATGCCAACCTCTGCCTGGCTGAAAGGCTTCCTGCAGAGCGGAGCGCACTGAGCTACTGCCGTGCAGCAGTCTGTGGGAGGGCAGGATGGCCAGGTAAGCAGCTCCGTACACCGTCTCCGGAGAGGAGCTGTAGGCTAACAGGGTCTCTCCTGTTTCCTTCCCATTCACCTGGAAAATAAGAGAGGAGGCATGTGGGAAACTGTCACATCCACAGCGGCACAGAGGTCGAATTAACAGCGAGGACCTGCTGGCTTTCTATTCCATATTTCTGTAAGATGGCAAATAAAACTAGAACAAAGCAACTGTTAGCATTTTTATGATTTTTATAACATATACACACATATATATACACAAATTTTGAATTACAGCTTATAAAACTTGACCACAGTGACTCAGACATATAAAACACCTTCAGGGCTCACTGGGCTCTTTTAGCTACAATAAACATCCTGAGATCCCTTTTAGATGGCACACAGTTATTTAAGGATATTCTAATTAACAATTAGTACCCATCATGCTAAAAACATACTGATAGGAGATAATTGTAATTAACAGCAGCATTTTACAAACTCCAGTTTTTACTTTAATTTTACATTCATTCATAACAACCCTTTCCAATTATTATCCAACCCTCTTTCCTCTATAAATATAAAAATACTACAAAATATCACAATTAAAGAACCGACTTGAGTGATTTTTATTTTTAAGGAAAACTGCTTTAATAATGGCAGTAATTGGGTTCTCAGTTGGCTTTTTGACGTCTCTCAGTTTGAGACAACAGGCTTGTGAAGAAGTCTAAATACAACTTTCAGCAGCAAGTAAACGGCGATCATCTGTTTGGGTAAATTGCTACTTGTAGCAGATGCAGTGAAAGCAAATAATAAGTGTGGATTTCTATGTTTTGGTACATGATTTTAATAGAAACAGATAAAAAGAGAGCTGTCAAAGAAACTCAAAGCAAGCAATCAGTGCTCGGGGTGAAAGAGATGAAAAACAGAAGCAGAGAAGA